CGCATGGAAATTGAATTTAAAAGCCACCTTTCAAAACGTCTATCAACCGTCATATTGCAATGCACTATAAATGCAGAAAATTACACCAGCTGTGTCTACCATGAGAAGGTAGTTCAAATATTTGCTCTACTTTTTTTCTTTATTTCATTCGCCGATACGAAGTGATATCAAATAACCATGGATCATAATAAAATCCTATTTCATCGATTTAGACCGTTTAATATCATATCAAGTGCACAGCACAAAGCGCGCAAATGCCTATTATCTGGGCGAGAATCTCTGTGAATGCTTCTCGATAAAGCATAATATCAATGACTCGTTTATCCATTACAATGAAGCTGAAGCCTCATAGAATTTTGAGAATCTGGAATTCAACAGCTCAGAAATATGATACGCCGATACTGTTGCTTTTCATGTCTTGAGAAGAAAAAATGTCCCTTGATAAATGAAAAGTGAAAACCGTTTGGCAAACTGAAGACTAAATCATTCATCTATTAGGGATTGTTAGATTTAATGCGACAAACCTGAACATTTTATACATCTCTTCAAGCAATCTGAGTAAGTAATCTCTCTTTTCATGTTCATGTGCATGTTCATTAGCTGATAATGTTCAGGCGCTGTCAATTCTTTTTTTCGCTGTACGCTTTTAACAAGCAATTTCATGTTTAAACCAGGGCTAAACGAGGTACTAATAATCTATTGTCGTGATATTAATGCTCTCATTCCTCAGAAGAAAAAAGAAGGAGGTCATAAAACTACAATAAGAGATTCCTTACAGACATACCAAAGTGGATGGACGTTAGCGTCAGGCCGAGATTCGAACCCTCAACCCTTGAACAGTCAAGTGAATGAACCACTATACGCTTACTAATATAAGAGGGCAGCTTAATCGGAATGACATGGGTGAGAAACTTAAGCTATAGACAGGCCATTTTTATTTTCAAGGAAAGTGATTGTTCAATAGGGAGATGGAGAAGAGGCAGAGAACGTTTCCAAACTAACAATTAAACAATGTTAACACACACACACACACACACACACACACACACGCATACATGTAAACGCCTTCAATCGGGGAGGTAGGCAAAACACCATGAAACTGTGGAGGTAATAAATATAGGCTTTATAAGCAATATTTTATCAAATTTGAGGAAAGAAAATCACAATAAGCCCATTCCAATGTCAAAAGATACTAAAAAACGTTTACTTCTTCTTACACATGATTCGTCTGAATTTGAGCTATGAAAGTGCGGTGTCTGCATCTAGTCATTGTCAATCGGGGAAGTAGGCATAAGACCTAGCAAACGTGGAGTTTGTCGATTTTTATCTTTTCCTTGTAAACTTCGAACTAACTCATGCAAAAAAGGATATTATTATGTTTGCTTGTATTTAAAACAATGAAGGCAATACTGTCTTTCAAATCTTAATTTCCACAATATAATATCAATCTTAGAAACAAGAGTTATGGTCAACAGTTGACCGTTGTGTATCATGTAAAAAGTCTTGATAAATATGATCTTGATTTACTGTATGGAAGCCAGTGGCGGATCCAGCCGGCGGGAAGAGGGGGGGGGGCCCAATCCGTGAGAAAATATTAGTTGCGACTCAGCCGTCGGTGAATAAGCGGGGGGGGGGGGGGTAGGAAGCATTTTTTTGGGGTGCAATTTTTCAGGAAATATTTTGCGCCGACTTAGTCAGCCGGTGAATATGAGACCACTATTTTTTTTTTGTGTGACCTAATTCGTGAGATTTTGTTGTTGTTGACCCGTCACCCCCCCCCCCCCCGTGGATCCACGCCTGCAGAGGATCCAGCCGGCGCCAATGGGGGGGGGGTAGCCAAATCTTAATACAAAATTTAGTGCCGTCTCAGCCGGCCGGCGAATAAGCGGGGGGGGGGGGGATGGGGCGCTTTTGTTTTTTGTTTTATAACGGTTAACTTTACGTTATTATCCTATTTTTTTTATCGTTTTGGGGGGCTGGGGGGGGGGGGGGCGGGCCGGAAAAATCGCTACGTGGATCCGCCCCTGATGGAAGCCATTACAAATGTAATCCTAGGAATCCCAACATCAGTTCCACTTACTCAGGTTCAATAAAAATGTTGGCTTAGCTTTTATCAGTGTCAAGAGATCAAGGTAATTTAAAGGGATTGCCCATGAACTGTCACACTATATTGTGTGGCTCAGAAAGAAAGAAAACCGGATATTTTCCAATTACAATGACATAATGACTCAAAGTTGATGATCTTGACATCATTTTTTATCATTTCGAAAAAGAATGATCTTCTTAATGAAGTAAGAATTAGGTCAATGATAAAGTTGTAATTGTAGATCGCAGGTGTTCCGTTCTTTCTAGCCCCCCCCCCCCCCCCCCCATGTATATAAAAACCATTATTCTATCATAAGGATATTTATATTTCTTTATTTTTGTTTTCGGGGGGAGGGGGAAGATTTCGGCAATTCAAGGAAAGAATACAATTCATATTTGTAAATGTTTTTAAATTAATCGTTATCACTAGTGGTATAGAGTTTGGATTAATATCATTGCTTCTTTGTATGAGATTCCTTTTGTTCTCTTACTATCATCAAAATATGTTTGTAACATTTATTCTTTTCTTATACATGTTTGCATTTTGACGTATCGACTTGTGAAAATGTTATGTTTTGTGAATAACGTTTATGTCTTTTGAAGAAAGAAGACACATATACAAAATAAAGATTGAGCTTGTTTGTACTATATTGCGTACTGATATGTCTTCATTATTTTAACTGTAAGGAATCACTATATCGCAAATGATGTTACAGTGCTTGCACACGTTGAAATTATTAATAGATAAGCTGGGAAAGATATAATGAAGGAAATTAACTTTAATAATTCCATCCACTGTACGTACCAACGGAACTTAATGACACCACCACACAAAAAGTTTGCAAAACTTTCTCCTGTGCTCCTCTCTTTCTCTCTCTCTAACTATATCTTCATTCAATTTAAGGACGAAACTGTCATCTTTTTCAACATGTTTTAACAATTCCTCGATCAATGTGGTATCAAACCACTTTCCCTGAATATTTTCTTTCCTTTCATCCTCGAATTCTATTAAATTCTTTAACACACCTCCTGCAAACATATACATACTTGCCACTATAAAATTGGATATAATTACAGTTTTAAAACTATGCAGTATTATCTAGCAAATCATTTTCTTTCTTAATTTTAAAATATGACTTATGTTAAAGAGGGAAAACAAAAATCACAGAATTATCATGTTATTTCTATAAATATCTCATACACCAGCAGGTGTATTGTACTACAGAGGAAAAAGACGAGATAGAATCAAATAAATGCCAATTGTAATAAACAATAGTTTATCTTCTTTGAATTTCTGTAAAATATACTTTATTTCGATACAATTATTTGACAGTCTTCAAAGGCACATGCACATCATGAAATTTACAAGAGACAAGTTAAACACGTCCAGCGATGATATGCAATTAGGAGTTAAGTCCGAACGTGTACATAAAAAGGGCATTAGTACCAATCAATACAATTGAACCACAGGCATTGCACCACATTTGCAAAAATCTACAGATTAAACATGCATGTAGTAGAAAAATGTCTTATAATTGTGATTACGAATAAACAATTATTTCTAACATCACCTGGGTAAAAGAATGGTGCAATATTGTGAAGTTGACATTGCCACAGAAAATGAGGTTAGAATACAAACGAAGGCAAAATAGATGATATTGATATCATTTACTTGGAGAATTGATCAACTCAGCCTACGCATATTTCATGATTTCTTTGAGGTCTTGTTAAAATAACAGATCATATTACTGTTCATTCTTGGCCGGCCATCCTTAATTTATACACATGTATAGTATATTTGTGTGTTTGGAATGATATGAAAGGTTGAGGCATAAAATGAATTCTGCCACTTAAATAAATGGGGTTTACTACCGTAAAATCCCCAGGGATTCTAAAAAAAAATCTAGAATTCTAAAACCTAAAAAACAAAACCCACCTCAAACCATAACAAGAAATTAAGCAACCAATTAATGAAAACAAAAGATAACATCTGTAACAACTTTGAACAACATAACTCATAACTAGAAATGAAGAAAAAAAGAGCCCACTGCTGTAAACACACAGCAAGAAAGCCAAAAGCCCTCTCTTGGATCCAGGCAAACAAAGTCTCCTTGAATATTAAACAAACAAAATAATTAAATGTTATTTAGCAATACTCCCATCAGCCATAATTGAACGCTTTACAAAAAATGATGCTTTACACACATACCAAACACGACATGCAACATGTACAAACTATCATCCTCCCTAACCAGGGCAGTTTTCGCCATAAAAACTATTTCATACACAGGACCAAACTACTGAAGCACCATTGATCCGAATCTCAAATAGCTTAAGAACTGTTGCAGCTTTAAAAAACATATCAAATTGTTAGTATTAAATTTGTACATGTAATGCACAAGTATACTATTTTTTTCTGGACTGTGAATCCCGACCTTGAATATTCTATTCTAAAAACTTCCTTTTCTCTCTCCTCATTCTTCTCCTGACCCCCATGCTTTACCTTCCCTTCCTAGTTCTCTTCTTTCTTACATCCATCATCCATATCATTTCATTGTTTTATCTGTATACTCTGATTTTGTATCATCATACTTCTACCTTATAATGAATGACACTGTGTCAACATTATTTTGAGGAACTTAAATTCTACAAGCTATATGCTTTTGATTAAGTTCCTTTTTTCACATGTAATTTCGAAATTATTTAGTGTGAAATAAATGAAACTAAACTGAAACTGAAGGTCAAGAGTCACTACTGCTCTCTAAGAAAATAGCAGCCCCTAGGTAGAGTACTAGCACACCACACAGTTTGCTAGAAAGTCCTGATTTATATACCATTTTATTTTCTTTTGTTGTAAAATCATGTGATACATATAAATATGAATGCGTTAGTATTTGAGGGATAATTCTCTTTTCAGTCTGACAAAATTAATAATATCCATTTTCCAAGTTTCTCAAATATTATATATGAATATTTGTCAGTGGTAACAATAGTACATTCCAAAGATACCATTTAACATGATGGAGTTTGATTTGGGGGCAAAATGGATGTAAAAGATTCCAGATATTAGTTTGATGAACATAATTACGTAGAGTTTAACAGTACCTAAGGTTAAAAAAGCTACACAGCATATCTGTTTTTTACATTCCTATCATAGCATCATCATTAGTTGTGTGCTATACATTTAACACAAATCTGACGCAATACAAATTTGTTGGAGAAGCCAACTTTTGAACAATGATGAAGAATGAAGGAGAACTCACTGACATCACAAATCCCCCCCCCCCCCAAAAAAAGGGACCAGGGATGAAATTGAATCAGCAAGAAGTAAGGTGAATCATATTAATATTGTAGGTTTATATGATTATACTGGAACCAACCCTTTATTATAGCCCTTTTTATTTGTTTTGTTGCAAAGGTATTACAAAAAAAAAAAGGTTTTGGGTCCCCGACCCCCATCACAACTAATTATTCACATTACAACCATCATCTATAGTCTAGTGCTTAAACACTAAATTGACATATTTTATGTATGTGGGAAATCTGAGAATAATATTCAGATCTGTTCTTATTAATTCACAACAAACATACATTCGGTTTACTTTTTAAAGGGGGCACTGATCATTGACTCCCCCTCTATTTTTTGCCACAATTATACTAAATCTGCAGAAACTACTGCATTGCTAATTAAACAAAAGTGTACAAATTCTATCTCTACACTATCCCATATTAATGGCTTGTACTAAACACTCAGGTCGCGGCTCGTTTGGCCATTTAAACAAAATGGTGTCTTCAAATCGGTTTTTAAGGGGGAAAATATTATTTCAAATTAGTGACTGTTTTTACACTCAGGTCGCGGCTCGCTGGGCCATTTATTCAATGATGTCTTCAAAGGGGATGCGTAGGGAAATTTTCTTAAAAAAGAAGTTGGAAGTTGTGATTATTATTTTTTTAATGATAGACAAATAAGAAGATTAGAATTAAGGCTGGCATTGGGAAAGACAAAATACTAGGTGATTAAAGTGGATTTTAGAGAAAGTGTAATACTACAAGGGAAATGAACTGTATATTTGATAGAAACAAGGAATAATGGATAGAGTGAGAAGATGAATTGTGGGAAATTAAGAACTAACAAGAGAGGATTACATAAACAAAGAATGAAAGAAAACAAATATTTAATAAAAAGGGAATTGAAAGAATTCATTGGTCAAATTTAACAGTGATAAAGATATAAAGAAAAGAGTGGAGGAAATAAAGATTTACATGATAGAAAAAAGATGAGAAATAAAGGGGTAGAATAAAATTTAGAAAGAATATTTTTTAAAGACTGACAAATATGAAAATAAAGCGAGGAATAAAACTTGATAGGATATTACAAGGAATGATGGAAATATTCATTTCATTCTTTCATTCTTTGTTTTTGTATTCCTCTCTTGGTAGTTCTTAATTTCCGACAATTCATCTTCTCACTGTATCCATTCTTCCTTGTTTCTATCATATTAATAGATCATATACCTATGTACTATTACACTTTATCTAAAATCCACTTTACCCACCTAGTATATTTGTCTTTCCCGATGTCAGCCTTAATTATAATCTTCTTATTTGTCTATCATTGAACAAAAAACAATCACAACTTACAACTTCGTTTTTAAAGTAAATTTCCCCACGCATCCCCTTTGAAGACATCATTGAAAAAATGGCCCAGCGAGCCGCGACCCGAGTGTAAAAACAGTCGCTAATTTGAAATAAGATTTCCCCCTTATATTAAAAAGCCGATTTGAAGACACTTAAAAAAAGATGGCCAAACGAGCCGTGACCCGAGTGTTTTTCAGCGCGCCGCGACCCGAGTGTTTAGTACAACCCCATAATAATATCAGAAACAACACAAGTTCTGTCCAAAATGAAAAGGGGCACCCTTTACACATAGTAAGGGCACTCTCCCTTGATGATGATATTAATACACTATACTGAACGTGTTCTCATAATAAATGTTGTTTAAGTTTTAATTGTGTCACAAATGTACAAGCATTACACTAGTCAATTCCCCTACTGCCTTCTTATGCTGCCATTATGGTATGTAAATGCAAATACTTGACTGTTTGATTACAACTTCCACTGATTTATTTCGTTAAAAAATCTATGGGTTTTTTTTCTTGTTCAAATAGGATATTTCCAACTCATGCTGCAAAATTCTCATTGTAATCAGTACATGTTGCCTAAACGATATGCTCCCTGTCATTGATATCTGGGAGTGGCCAAGCATAGGTCCACTAATAAGACCCTAACACAATTACAAATTGCCGGATGCCTACAAAAATGATAATAAAACCTCAAAATAACAAATCCTTTGCCAGTAGAGTGGGTAAACATTTTATGAATACATGGAGAAACCAAATATAAAAGAATACACATTTTAGACTGTAATAACAAGAACATGCCTTGTAATTTATGAGCATTTTCAGCAGTTTGGTGACTCAAAACAAAAGCATGTGTGTATTCAATATAAAAATGGTGATTTGATATTAAAGGGAATGTTTTTACCAAGGCTGTGTTTTTCTGCTTTTGGTAACCTTCGAGTTTCTTACGTAGTCTTTGATGTTGACCCACGTTCTGTGTTTCAGCACAGCTTCAGCTTTCAAGCATTCGTCTATCGCTCTCTTGCCAGGTAGCTTAGAATGAACAGTCATAAAGGCTCCTAAACGTCTCTGGACAGCCGACTTTTCCGCATCGCTCCATGCTGTCTTTCGTTTCTTCCTTATTGGCTGTTCATCAACCTCTTCCAGTACATGTTGCGTTTGCCTTTGCCTTTTGGTACCTAATGAAAGACAATAACAAAAAAATGTTGCAATTATACTATGCAGAATAATAAATGCAGTATCACATACTGTTTCTCTGAGTCTCTGACCCATGAACTTGAAGAGTGCATTACTGTTATGAGGATGGAAGGAGAGGAAGAATATTTAAATCCTCTTTTGCAGTGATGCAGAATAGAGTGTGATCCTGGGAGGAATACACTTAAACGATTTTTTTTTGCGGGAAGAAAGCCATCATATAATTTTGTAAAGCTCATATTTCGTGAAATTATGGGCATCTACCGTTTAGGGGAGTCGGGCACAAACAAGTCTTTAAATTATCTGACAGTGTCATGACAGATGGGGTTATGTTTCACATATTCTACCCGGTTTCTATTGGTCATTTATTTTGCTAATCTAGCTCAGTTTTGGGTTTATTTGGGAGGGGCTCCTGGCTGCCTCCATTTTCATCCATTTCCTAGTATATTGTAGTGATTGCTGTGTGCATGAAAAAAAGTACATTTTGTATTACCTTGACAACCCCTGACTCCCAGTCTAGAACAAAAGGGCCACGATCACATAATACTTTCTGAGTCTATATTATTGTATGTACACAATTTTTTTTTAGTTTAGAGAAGTTTAGATATAGAGACCAATTAAATTCACTAATAGATTTTCTCCGTCATTGGCAACAGCCTTTTTGTGAGGCTACATTACAATTATAATTGTGCTATAATTTTTAACAATTCAAAATGCACAAATATTGGTACGTGGTGATTTCAACAGGAAAAAGTTTGGTTTCACTTTGGCTTTTGAGGATGATTGAGAGTGCGGTACAATAGGCAAAATTAACATTTAGGTTTGCAAAAAGAATTTTTTTAGATGCTCTCATTGGACTTAAAGTCATACCTTTTTGGGAGCATCCAGGTAGCTGACGTTCGACATCATGATCACCAGAATCAACATCGCTGTCACAATTGTCATCACATGATTCAGGTCCCTGTTCTCCAGTGTCGATCTCTGTACATAAAATAATAATCAATAATATTCACCAAAAAGAAAATCTGGGTCAACTGCAAAGAAAACATACTTGTAATTTAAAACAAAAGAATATAATCAACTATTTCTAAATACAACATGGTAGAATTGGCACCAGGTATATGCTACATATGTGGATCGAGTCAAACAAATGCCTTAATTACCCCTAATCTAAATAAATTGAAACAAACAAGTGAACAATATAGTGAGGAATATTTAACTGCATGGTTCATTTGAAAACAACACTTTTCATTAATTCAATAATGTTGCAGCATGTTTATCAATTTACATATTTTGTATTTGATAATTGTCAAGTTGAGTGGAAATCAGAAATACTTGATTCTTAAAATGAGTACATGCTACATGGTTTGTTATTCATCCCACTCATCCCTCGCCATGATGTTTCTCATCTCATTAGGGTTTGGATTGAGATCCCCACTGTATAATTCTACCCTCATCACAAATTTACCTTCATCTAACTTGATTTGAAGCTCATCCAGACTTTTTGCAGTGCCAATCAGCTGGACCGGGTTCCCAGCTTTTCCCTCCATGGCGAACAGGATCTTTGATATTTTGGCCACCTGCATAGCAGCATCTGGCAGTCTATAATACTCCCTATGTATCCTAATATCGTGGCCCATGAAGTTTGCTAAGGCGTCCATCTCATGGTCCCTCAAGCTCATTAGTTGTGACATGGTAGCTACATGCTTCCGTAATTTTGTGGATCGAAGTGTTGAAGGATTTTGTGCTCCACATGCTTCTGACAGCTCACGGAGAGCATCTGACCCTCGAACATGAGATGTAGTGTCACTATTGGCTACGGCGAACAGGTATTTGTTGCTTGGGTTTACACCTGCTTCCTCCCTGTGGGATACAAGGGTGTCTACACATGATTTCATGGAGTCTGTCACAAGGATCGGCACTGTCCTGCCACGTTTTCCTACTACCTCAACTCTCCAGAGAAACTTTACAAGATTTTTTTCCCAGTCTTTCAGCATCTCTAGTTGTCCTTCCACCATATGAGATTCACCTTTCTTGATTTTATTGTAGTCATCAAGAGTCATCTTGCTGATTTCCCCTTGTCTCCTCCTATTAAACACAATGAGATGAGCCAGCATGGTCTTGTTGAGTTCTCTCCATGTGCTATGGTTTTCGATTGCGGTCCCAGATGACAGTTTGTCTACACAAAGTTCAGCCTGTACCTCTAGGTGTCTTGACAAAGCCACAACATCACTCGTTAGGGGTAGGAGTTTGGGCTGGTTTCGTTTCCTCTGGTACAAAGTTCGTAGAGCATGAGTAGAGATTTCAGATCCCCAACAAGTGTCCAGCAGCTTGATGAACTTTTCTACAAGTTTCTGCATGTCATCCCCATCTCTGTCCATCAAAGCCTTACTCAGGAGCACAAAGGCAGCCTTTCTTAAGGTATGTCCCAGCTTAAGTGCTAGACTTGGTGTATTGAACAAGTGGTTCTCCTCATCAAAGCCTGCCACTTTCTTGACAGCACTCAAGACAGTCATAAAACCATTTGGTGATATCAGGGAAGTCAGACTTGCTTTGCCATTGCAGCTGCAACGTCTGAACTGAAGTACAAGTCTTCCTAGTTCTCGTAACTTGCATCTGATGTGGTTGTGCTGTTCTTCGTCATGGCCCAATTTCTTAGAGTACACCTTGGCCAATTCTAGAATCAACTGATCATTTAGAATGCAGGCCTTGATTTCATCATCGCTGAGACCACTCAGTACTTTGTGTGTTATAGAATCTCTTGATGTGCAGGGCACTGGTGGAAGCAAGAGTCGACCTTGTGCTAATAGTCTTCTTCGTTTTTTCTTTTGCTCCTTAGCCGGCTCTTCTTGCTTCAAAATGCAGCGGTGTTTCCACAATTCGGCTTTCGCAAACCATCCCAAACAATCTTTGCAAGGCTGATAATCACGGGGCTTTGCTTCACAAGAAGGTCTATATACGACCACAAGCTCTCCATGACCCTTTTCGAAGACCCTGTAGTTGTGCATGTGATTTCCTTTATTTCTTATCAATGTCAATAGCTTATCCTTTTCTTTTCGATTCGTTGCTGCCATGTATTGAGCCACCTTTATTTCATTGGAATGTTGTGACCGCAGGTGATCAGGAAGTTTTTTGTGGGGCTTCTCACACATCATGCAATAAGCTACCTTGTCATATTTTCGCCCTCCTTGATTGTTGGTCTTCATCACAGTTATCCCCTCATGGTCAGCATCAATGCCTCCATATCTTGATGATGCCTCCAATGACTGATCTGATGACAGAGATTTTAGTGATCGAGTGATGCCATTTATTGATGTACATTTAGCCTTAGGCAATGATGCTTGAGAATTATTTAATGAAGTCTTCCCTGAAGAGTCAGAATCTCCTTGAGAATCACAGACATAGTCTGGATCATCATCACTATCATCATTATGGTCAGATAATATGTCCTCATTATCACTTGAAAAAATATTTTGTGAAAGGGTTCCATCTGGTACCATCAATGCTGGTGTGGCAGGCTCAGGGAATGGTTCCCAGTGCTCTCGGTTATTAGGGGGGTTTCTGCATAGATCATCAGATGTGTCATCATTATCAGCAAGAAAATTGGACAGTGAAAGGTTTCCATCTGGTTCCATTAAAGGTTGTGTGGCAAGCTCAGTAAATGGTTCCCAATGCACTTGGTTATTAGGTGGGTTTATGCATGGATCATCACATGTGTCATCATTATCAGCTGAAACATTAAACTGTGAAATCTTTCCATCTGATTCCATTAAAGCTTGTGTGGCAGGCTCAGGGGATGGTTCCCAATTTGTTTCGTTATTAGGGGGGTTTCTGCATAGATCATCAGATGTTTCAGCATCATCAGTTAGAACATTGGAGAGTGGAAGGTTTCCATCTGGTTCTATTAAAGGTTGTGTGGCAAGCTCAGTAAATGATTCCCAATGCACTTGGTTATTAGGGGGGTTTATGCATGGATCATCACATGTGTCATCATTATCAACTGGAACATCAAACTGGGAGAGCTTTCCATCTGATTCCATTAACGCTTGTGTGGCAGGCTCAGGGGATGGTTCCCAATGTTCTTGGTTATTAGAGGGGTTCCGGCATGGATCATCACATGTGTCATCATTATCAGCTGAAACACTGAACTGTGAAATCTTACCATCTGATTCCATTAAAGCTTGTGTGGCAGGCTTAGGGGATGGTTCCCAATTTGTTTCGTTATTAGGGGGGTTTCTGCATCGATCTTCAGATGTTTCATCATCATCAGCTCGAACATTGGACTGTGAAAAGTTTCCATCTGGTTCCAGTAGTTCTTGTGTGGCAGGCTCGGAGAATGGTGAACAAACTTTTTCTGGGTCTGGTGGGAGGTTTGCAGAATTTTGCAGAATTTCAGGTTTTTCATCTTGGACTCCACTGTGTAATTGAGTAGGACTTGGGAATACAAAATTATCTCCCACCCCATAATCATATAACACTTCTTCACCTTCTTTGATTTTCTTCAATGAGAAGAGAACCAGTTCTGGTTCATTGTGAGGGTTCTCTCTAATCTTCATTCTGCTGTTGACTTCACCCCTCCAACCATGGTTGACGAGTCGTCCCAGTTGTTGTTTAGTTGGTTCGACTGATGCATCCCTACTGGAAATGAAATTGAAAAAAAATGAAAACATTAGATTCATCAATGTTTAAAATTACAATGAATCACTGAAACATACAAGTATATGTGGGTTACAATTTGTGATTTCACTTTAGGTTTTCTCTGTTGTCAGATATTATTTGATTAACTGTTACTTTTCAAGTAGCTAGGGTATCACTCAAAGAAGAATCGTTACAGTCATGATTTTTGTTAACGCATGGTTAATTTTAGGAGGAAATTTGAAATACAAGTAACATAGGAAACAAATAGGTAACATTACATGTAGGCATTGGAAATCATAACCAATATCATGAACATTAAACATGCATATGTTTACTTTTCATTTGCCTTAAAATTGTAATGCTACAAAATGTCACCGTGCATCAGACAAGAGTACCGAGGCGAAAAAAGACGACGAACTAACCGTGGAAGATTTTTTCAATATAAATACAAATAACAAAAACAAAACAAAAAAAACACAAAGGTCGAATAACGACACGCCCTACAAGCCACGGGCAACAGCATTGCGAACAAAATATATCCTCTCAAGACCCTCTGAAATACGAGAGCCAAAGACATTACATGGTATAACAAAAATAACAAAAAAGAGAGAGAAGCGACCAAATTGGGGAAAGGGCAAGGAGAGGCAACAGACTAAAGGGAAAATGTACAATTTCGGACATATCTATCCACAAGATGTTTACACCGGGTGGGAGAGATGGAAGAAGGCTTCGGCAGGGGAGAAGGAACATGCGGAGAAGAAAGATGAGTCCAAGGAGAAGAAGGGAGGGAGAGATGAGGAAAGATTAAAAAATAGCATGGGAAAAAGGAAAAAAAGCATTATGATAAACAAGAACAGACGTGTAGAATGAGGGGGGAAAGAAGAAAATAATCTATCTAATCTTTAAAAGTGGAACGTAGCTCCAAAAAGCAAATAAAGAATACAATATAAAAAGTGGCTACTAGCACAAACCTGAATTCATATCAAACGGACCAAACATGTATGCAGTGTTATATTATTTTAGAATGAGCAAAGAAAGCAGGAAATCCAATGCAGGGTTTGAATTGTGCATTGAAAACTACATCCTCAATGAAGATTATGTTTACCAACTGTATGATTTTTGTTCTCAAGTTTTCAAATGATTTTTCAATAAATCTTACCATTTGACATATGTTGGCCCATCTCAGATCATCTTCCCAGATTATAAAGAAGAGGAAATTTGGGAAATTACAAAATGAATGATGAACATTTAACAAAGAAGGATAACAGAAATTAAAAGCAGAAGATGTATAAAGACAACAAGCAGGAGTAGCGAAATGAGAAATCCAGCTACAATGCGAGGATGACGCTGGACAACAGACATTGAAAGAAATGAATTAGGAGGATGGGAAGGGAGAGGAGGAGACAAAGCAGATGAAGAAGTTGAATGAGGAGTTGATGAGCGAGGGGTTAGGAGAGGGGTTGAGGGAGGGGTTGGGAGAGGGGTTGGGAGAGGGGTTAGGCGAGGGGTTGAGGGAGGGGTTGTGTGAGGGGTTGATTGGGGGGTGCGGGGAGGTGTTAGGGGAAGTAATGAATGAACAGATGAAGTAATATCAGACTGAAGTGAAGATGAGGTGTAGAAGAAAGGGGGAGTAGAAAAAGAGTCTTCCGATGACATATTGCAGGGAACTGATGAACCAGCATCATTTAAAACTTCACTGGAGGGAGAGGGAGGTGGTGCAAGCTGCGTAGAAATTTCCGAATCTGTTTCATCATTTAAAACTTCACTGGAGGGAGAGGGAGGTGGTGCAAGTTGCATAGAAATTTCCGAATCTGTTTCATCTGTAAGATGAAATGTGGAGTGTACAAAAAAAAAACATGGACTTTTCAGTGTAATGCACCTTTCTTTTATATCCAATATTTGTACCAAATATTGTTTTATATTCTCATTTTATGCTCTCCAAAATGGAATATGATCTGTTGGACTGACAAGGTAGAATAATTGTCATTGGTAAGATTGTGTTTTTTGTATGATAGCTAAAACAGGTTTGAATAGATAGAGAAGAATATAAGTTGCATATTTGTTCTATGCTGTCCTTGCCGTATTGATACTTTCTGCAGAAAACTGTATGTGTACTGTATGTGGTCAGTCCACGGGTTTATTCAAAAGCACGGAATAGAATTTGACAGACATGACTAGCTTTCGATCTTTCTCTAATTAAAAAACAAAAACCACTGGTAGAAAATATGTTGCCCTGTCAACCCACATGTTTACGACTACGTCATAAGCATATAGCCTTAGGTTTGTTTTCAACACCTATCATTACAAAATATACTTTTCAATAAATCAAGTCGTCATAGTATGTAGACTTACCACCATTTCGTCCCTTTCCATGTGAAAAAGTATCTGAAGCAAGTTTCACAGTCTGCATCTCTTCTTTCCCCCACATCTCTGGTTACCAGATCTCCTCTGTACCACAAAAGGAATTCTCCCTCTTCAAACGTTTTGGTGGTAAAGACTGCTCTACCTGTGATTGAAGAAATACATAATCTTCATGAGATCAATCATGCGAGTTTAAACATTGTGAATATGATGTTACAAGTATATTTGTCTGTCATTTAAGATAATGCTCAGGTGTGATAAGTAACTCGGACTCGTACTTGTAAGAAGGCACTTATTTTCAAAATTGGTTGAGTTTTAAATAACATTTGTGTGTCTTTTTGGTCACATTGCCATCAAGCAGACTTTTAAGCAACACACTGTATTTAATATTAGTATGCTGCAGATATTAAATTACAGTGTCATGCATGTCATGATGAACATGACGTTTTCTCTAGATTTTCTAAAAACTTTTTGACATTCAACCCCATGAGGAGGCATTAAAATTCATTTCAAGGTCTAACCTTTAAACACTTAACCAAATCAAGTT